TGTCGGCATCAAATACGCAATTCGATATCTTCATAAATCACTGTATTTTCAAGAGTCAGAGAGAAAGAGAGGCAATGGTCGGTGTGTGTATTATATATGCCAAGAAATAACAAACACTTGATGTTGTCATAGTTTATGAAGTATAACTTTGAAGTTGAAATATACATTCTCGTAGTTGTATCTATAAAGAATAAGAATAAGAACATGAAAATAAAGGAGAGTTGTTCACTTACAATATAATGTTGTGGATCTTTTTTCTGAAGAAGAAAACTTTTGATTTGTTCAATAATGAAAGTATTTGATGTGATATTAGAGATAAGAGAAAGTGCAACAATACTCGATGGATATTTGTGAAGAAGATCTAAATAAAAGACAACGATTAAATGGATACAAATAGAAGAAGATCTAGTCACTTACGAAATGTTTGATGTGAGATAGTTGATAATAATGATCGAGCTTGTTCAATAGTTTGTTTAAGATTTTCATCATCATTTGTATTCGAGAGATTTGTTAAATATGAAAAGAAATGATGTGGTGTTGTTTCACAAATATCATATGAGAATATGTCAAGAAGTTCAATTTCAGTATCCTACAAATCAAAGATAAAAGTAAATATAGATAGAAAGAGAAAAAGAGAGAATGTGAGATAGAGACTTACATGAATAAGTTGGATATTTTGAATATGGAAATATTGAGCAATAAGATCATAATCGATATCTTGTGCTTGTGAATGTTGATATTTGTGTGAAAGTGTGGTAGAAGCAATGATAGTTAATAAATCAATAGAATATTGTTGAAGAGTGAGTTTTTTGAGTAAGATAGTAGTCATCCATATTGTAGATGAATCAAGATAGAGAAGTGAAGATAACTAAAATTAAAGAGTGAGAATGATATTTGTAAAGAAGTAGATGAGACTTACATGATTTAGTATATGTACAATGTGATCAGAAAGTTGAATATTGATAGTTTGATTGTAATGAAGTTGATCTTCTTGTGAAAGTAGATTGTGAAGAAGATGAGTTTCGGAAGACGAAAGTTGAGTATCAGGTGCAGCTCTAATATAGTCATCAGTGATGAGGTTGAATGAAGATGAATTCATGTTAGCGAATTTGGATGAATAAATGAATGAATAATAGGATATTGCATTCGAATGAACTATTTATATGGGTGAAAGCGGATGAGGAGAAGAGGAAAAGAGGGAGAGGAGGATAAACTGTATGGACCAATCATGAACGATATCGTTCTTCTCTCTCTCTCTGTATTGATCAGCTGTTAATGACATAGCAGCTGTTCTGTTTTTACTTTCTCTGCTGTACAACAACCGATTGAGAAGGCTGAATAAAACTACAACTTTTGGAAGTGATTTCGAAATAAGTAAAGCATAATGATTTGCTATAGATTGTGGTTCGAATTTTCAATTTATAGTTTCATCTAAGAATGATAGTAGTTTGTAAGAATCTCTTTTTTATATGAAATGAGGAGTTTTGAAAATTTTAAATAGTCTTTTGGTTATATATTTGATGTATGAATTTGGAAAATGAGTTAGTATTAGAGCTTTAAATCATGCTTTCAGTTGCGTGTTGATCATTCTAATCCAAATATCTTCTCTTCTCTTCTTTTTCTTTGAACTGATGCATTTTCATCCTTTCCTTCTAATCTTTTATGTTCGTGGACACGCGTTCATGCGCGCCTTTCAACTTTGTTTCATAGTTATTGACTTTGACACATTTTCCCGCTACCTTTCTTTTT